CTGTATCTACAAAACATAAACTTTCCATGTTGAAATATATAATATATAGCACAGTATCTTACCTTAATATTTTACATACCACTTACAAAAGCACCAGTCTTATATTATTGACTATATTGGATGTCACTTCACTGGGTTAGATTTACACTCTTGTATTGTTTTTACAGATAGTAGTATTATGTCATTATTGGACAACATCAGTTTATTAATTAGTTGTAATAACATGGGATTTGTGATCATTAGCAGTGAAGATAGCAAGTGAATCATGCAATATTTAGCAATACACTTACCAGTTTACCATGGACATACAACTACATGGTAATATTATATAAATGAATAACTCTTGGTTCAAAAGTCTACCTATTTAATCTTTTCTGGTAACAGTGAATAATTATTTTAAATTTACTAATTTAGTGCATGTCTTGCTTTCAGAACCTGAAATTGACAGGGCAGTTCCATATTAAATACAGTGACTATATAAAACAGTTGAAAGATGTAAAAATGTAACCAGTGACACCCATTACTATACAGTATCATGTAAATAGAATAAGAAAATATACTTGTCAGAACGAGTTTTTTTCCTGTAATTCAGATAAAAAAAAATCAGATAAGAAAGAGAAACAAATCTGCATAATATTACACTTGAAGAGAAAATGTTAGCGATAAATCAACAAAAAATAAGGGAAAACAAAGATTGTAAAAAGGAGTAGTAAATGATGAATAAATAGTGCATGTGTTAAAACATCCTGTAAGTTCACTCGGGTTAGTTAGCATGGTGTACTTGATGACACACTGTAAAATGGAATAAATGGAAAATGATTAATGTTATATGAATTGACACAAATGTAGGGGTGACTTAAAGTCTTGGACTTACATGTCATTGAGTTCCTTGACCTTGGAGGAATCATAATTACGTGCCTCCACCGCCTCCTTAATATCTGGAATGTACCCAAAAACAGTTATGGTACATGACCAAAGACAATGGAAGGATGAACACACATAACGATGAGAACTCCGAAGAAAACGAAACTCGGTTAATGATGAATAATAGATGACATGACCAATGGTCTACTACTGTGGATGGGTTGGCATGCAGAAAACCATGCAAAATGAAACTGAATTTATTAATATTTGTACCCATCCATAAAGGCTATTTGCATTAAACTGAAAAAAAATTAAATATCACTGAATCAAAACAACATATGATTAATAATAATGTCGTGCATATTGAAACTTTTCTCGAACATAAGATGTCTATTTGTTTACATGCAAAAACATTACCTAACCCCCCGGTATTCTCAATCTCTGTTGCCTTTCAAATGTCCACTTATTAGAAATGACATGCATAAACATTTTATTTATTCTCAATCACTGTTGTCTTTCTAATATCTACTCAATTGAATTGACATGCATTATCCAAAATTTCAAGTGGAATCATAAAAGCCCTCATGAAAACAAATCCTCAATCCAAGATCGTGGCAAAATCATGCGACTGATCAACAATAAACACTTTACCTATTCCCAATGTCTTCTTTAATAATATTTGAACCCATAAGTATTTTCAATCTCTGTTGTCTTTCAAATGTCTACTTATTTGAATTGACATGCATAAACACTTTACCTATTCTCAATCCCTGTTGTCTTTCAAATAGTCTCTCATAATCTTTATCAGCTTGTATTGTTTCCTTTGTCAGCTGCAAAACATAAATGGTATATCAAATATTATCACAGGTTATAAGAGTTTTATATTAGAAGAGTTTACACTAGATTACTGGTGCTATTTGACAATGTGTCCACCATGACAGTCAATGGGGGCTCACATACATGTATGTCATGATATACCGTATTATACACTTAAGCAATACACTCCTCCCACCTCTAGAGTGCATACATGCAGTGAATACATCATGATGCTTATACACTGATATATTATGATATATACTCGTGGAGTCACTCATATCAACGAGCTCTAGAAATAAGTGATATCAGTTGATAAATTGTTATCGCATGACCAACTCTGAGTGCCAACAAAAATTAGAGAAATCATCATTCTACTAAGTTCTCTGCTTACGAATCACATGCTAATTTATGGGACATCTAAGCGTACATTTTTAGTTACTGCCAATGGTTTTCAAAATCAGCAGAAATATTATCATTCATGGAGATATATTTTCAAGATAAATATTCAATCATCATTATTATGAGTTATTATCCTGTCTGAAATTCATATAATGCAGCATTAAAAAACGACACCGTTGCATGATTTGATTTTCTCAATGTATTGTTCAAGCACACAAAGACTGATAACATTTAGAGTGCATATTGACATGTGATAACATTTATTTCTACTCACCATTTCCATTCTCTGATTTAACTTGGTCTTTTTATCTGCATATCTTTTCTCCAACTCTTCTCTTTCTGTCCTTATTTTATTTCTGTTAAGTAATAACACATGCAATATCTGAATGCTAACTAATTCACCAAAGAGTGAACCCCTTTTGTGACATGTGTGGAAGAAAAGTTAGCTACTGACATCTTTGGAAAACAACTACAGAAAAAAGGTGACTGCAAGGTAAGCCTGGAATGGTATGATTTAATTACATTTCTGTAAGAAAGGTATAACCTTAACAGATAGATATCACAAGTGATATTCATCCAAGTGTCAGGTATACAATGATATTTGAAACATGCAGAGACAAACACAGATCAGGCATGATTTTATGTGACGGAGAAACCATAATAATATTGGTGTAACAGGTAATACAATACCAACCCTTTCTGTCTTAATTCCTCATTTTCAGTATGTTCTAAATCAAGCTGTACTTCAAGTTGTTTTTCTTGTTGTTCAAGCCTGTTACGTGTTGTTTCCAGTCTTCTGATACTCTATAATATAAACAAAATCAGAATCCAGATACAAACATAATATAGAAAAAACAAACACATGATTGTTTGATTAACTGTCATTGTGTTGATCACAAAGTGCACACAAATAGTGAATGTGAATAAGAAAAAGCTGAACTCGATTAACGTTTCAGCCACAAAATTACACTGTATACCTTTCTTATGGCATGGAGTTTTCCTTCTGACTCTGTTACTTCTTCTTTCAAAGTATCTAATTCTTTCTTTTTACCAATGTTGGCTTCTTTTTGTTTTTTTGTCTTCTTGGTAGTATCATGCTAATACAAATACAAGGACAAGCAAACCAATGACACACAGAAAACTCAATATCTAGAGAACCAAATATTATATCTTTCCTTTCACAACAGATCTGGCCTATTCTAATATATTGTCACAGGAGGAAGAAAGGTTTTCATATCTCAATAAATTACAGCGAATATTTGATTACCACAGCTTGTTTTAAACGCTTCTTTTCTTGTCTAGCATCAGCTCTTTCTTGAATCATATCTTCTTTTAAGATGACTATACCAGTTTCCAGCTCAACAATCTGTAGAAATATTACATGTCATTATTATAATAGAATATAAATTATGCAAAATTTCATGAACAGCTGATCAAAAGAAGATATGAAATGGTCTTACCTTCTGATTGGTTTCTCGCAGTTTGTCTCTTGTTTCATTCAAGGTAATTTGTTTACTGAAAACAAACACAGAGTGTATAAAGTGTTCGTTAAATTTCCAGGGTTTCCACTGGTTCTACTGTACATTACGGATGTAGAAGACTTTTACAGTGATTTTTTTTATGCATTTTTTTTTAATTTTTTAAACGAACAAGCAGCCTCTTGACTGAGATAGCTCTGCTGTTAGCAATGCACATTTCAGTTAGAGAATTGAAGATATCACGAAATTAGGCAAGGGTTCTCCGAACCCGCCTATTCACATAGTTCATACCCACCATAGACTCCGGTCAGTCAAAATGACTATTTTGAACTGTAGGCATTAATCAGCGATTCTGCCGGTGACGGAGAGATAGAATCCAGGTTAGGGGAAGCCCCATGACCTAAAGATTCTTTTACCCCTTACGTCACGAACCCACGTGACCGAGGCCACCTGGCAGCGCCACAGGTAGCCATCCATCACTCTGGTTCCTTTCTCTCTGCCTCGAGGACTTAGACCAACACGACGGAAAGAGTGGGGAGGTTGGGGGGGGGGG